GCAGATTAATGTCAGGGTCTTCAGTTTGGTTCCATTGGTCCACATGTCAGTTTTTATGCCAGTACCAAGCTGTTTTTATTACTATAGCTCTATAGTAGAGCTTAAAGTCAGGGATTCTGATGCCCCCAGAGGTTGTTTTATTGTACAGGATTCTTTTGGCTGTCCTGGGTTTGTTGTTTTTCCATATGAAGTTAAGCATTGTTCTTTCCAGGTCTGTGAAGTTATTTTGATGGGGATTGCATTGAATCTGTAGATTGCTTTTGGTAAGATTGCCATTTTTACTATGTTAATCCTACCTATCCATGAGCATGGGAGATCTTTCCATTTTCTGACACCTTCTTCAATTTCTATCTTCAGGGACTTAAAGTTCTTTTCATACAGGTCCTTTGCTTGCTTAGTTAGAGTTACTCCAATGTATTTTATATCATTGTGGCTATTGTAAAGGGTGATGTTTCTCTGATTTCTTTCTCAGCCTGTTTGTCATTTGTATATAGAAGGGCTACTGACTTTTTTGAGTTAATCATGTATCCTGCTACATTACTGATGGTGTTTATAAGCTGTATGAGTTCCTTGGTTGAATTTTTGGTGTCACTTATGTATACTATCATGTCATCTGCAAATAGGGAAAGCTTGATTTCTTCCTTTCCAATTTCTATCCCTTTGATCTCCATTTGTTGTCTTATTGCTCTGGCCAGAACTTCCAGTTCTATATTGAATAAGTATGGGGAGAGTGGACAGCCTTGTCTTATTCCTGATTCTAGTGGAATCACTTTGAGTTTCTCTCCATTTACTTTGATGTTGACTGTTGGCTTGCTGTAAATTGCCTTTGTTATATTTAGGTATGTTCCCTCTATTCCTGATCTCTCCAAGACCTTTATCATGAAGGAGTGTTAGATTTTGTCAAATGCCTTTTCAGCATCTAGTGAGATGATCATTGTTTATATGGTGTATTACATTGACAGACTTTTGTATGTTGAACCAACCTTGCATCTCTGGGATGAAGCCTACTTGATCATAGTGGATAATTGTTTTGATGTGTTCTTGGAATCTGTTTGCCAAATTTTATTGAGTATTTTTGCATCAATATTCATGAGGGAGATTGGTCTGTAATTCTCTTGGTTGCATCTTTTTTGGCTTGGGTATCAGAGTAATTGTAACTTCATAGAAGGAGTTTGGTAATGTTCCTTCTGTTTATATTGTGTGGAACAATTTAAAGAGTATTGGTATTATCTCTTATTTGAAGAATTTGTCTTTTTCTCAATTTCTTTATTGATTTCTTCCACTTTTTTGTTTGTCTTTTCCTCAATTTCATTTATCATTTTTTCTTGAAAGGCCTCTAGCATCTTCATGATGCTATTTTTAAGGCCTCTTTCTTCTGATTCTTCTACATTGTGATGTTCAGGTCTTGCTATTGGAGGAGGGCTAGGTTCTGGTGCTGTATTGCTCTTTATGTTGTTGTATGGACTGCCTTGCCATCTGCCCACCTCCTCTTCTAATGGGTTTAAAAGGTAGCTGTGTCTGAGCGAGTTGCTGTTGGTCTACTCTGTGCTTGTTTCTGTGTCTCAGGGCCCTTCTAGATCTAATCTTAGCTCTTGGTCTAATTGGAGCAGGCAGATTCTGTGTCTCAGGGAGTTTCTCTTGGGTCAACCCAAGCTAGTTGATTCTGTGACTCAGTGGTCCACTCTTGGTCTTATCAGGGCTCTTGGTCCAGTCAGAGCTGACAGGTTCTGTGTTTCAGCAAGCCTCTCTTGGTCCAATGAGAGGTGGCAGATTCTTCTTCTCAGAAACCACTCTTGAACTAATGAGGGCTGGCAGATTCCCTGTCTCCTGAGGTTACTCTTGGTCCAATGACAGCTCTTTGTCCAATGAGAACTCTCTCTAGGCCTGATAGGAGCTCTCTAGGCCCAATGAGAGCTGGGGGTTGGTTTCCAAGCCTCAGGAAGTAGCTGGGGACTCGGGCAAATAGGTATGGGGGCAGTGAATATAAATTGCAGGGTCTACTGGGAGGTCTTGGTGGGGGAGCTGCCTTCCCACAGGATCCCTACCTGCTGGCTGGCAACTGGGGCCAAGTTGGGTGGGTGTTCCCAGGGGAATGGCTGGGGCCCAGGAATGGGTCTTAGGGGCAGGGCTCACTGGGTATGAAGAGTCATTCACCTCTTGGCCTGATGAGGGCTTGGGGTTGGTTTTCCACCTGTGTGGTTTGTTTTTAATGCAATGATCTTTTTCAAAGAACATGTTTCTCCTATAGTGTTTTCTCATAAGATATGTTCCTTTGTGTTGTTCCTGTCTACCATGATGCCTGTTTTTCATAAATCATGTGTGAACACAAAACAATGAATCCCCCTCTCTCTGGCTATATCTCTGTCTATCTATCTGTATCTCACTATGTAGCCCAGGGTCGCTTTTAACTCATGTTCCTTTTACCTCAGTGTCTCAAATTCTAAGATTGCACTTGTGACCTGCCAGAGTGGTCTGTCAATATTTATCAGTATGTTTCATAGAAAATTTTCTGATTCTTAAACTTTTGATTTGAAATGTTCATTCACACTAAGAAAACAATGTTAAAAGTCCCTTAGAATAATCCACCAGTCCTTGCCATCACTGCCTCATAGCCATCGTGCTCTTTCTGTACTCCTCAGCTGTTTCTCTGTTATGCCAGCTCTGTGGCTATGGATGACAGAATCACTGAAGAACTTTTTGAGTTTGCTTCAGACCTCTCCAATCAACGAATACCACAATTAAGAGAATTATTTGGTTTCTTAGAGAAAATAAAAATTACATCTGTACATAGTTTAATAATTGGGTAATAACCTCACATCCAAAGATAAGAATGCATGACTTAGTTAAAACATGCATAGGTAAAATGTTGTCTGTCACTGGAGATTCAACAAGGTGTCAATTTGTTCTGTGGAATGCCTTGGCTTGGAGTTAAAAGCTGCTAATTGTCTAGTGTGCTGAATGAATTACAGGAAATTTCTTAAAATAAGACTTTGCTGCATGGGTTGGCTGGCCCCTTCATGAAGGATTTCTTTGTACCATTTGATGCTGTTGGATAACATCTAACCTGCAGTAGAACTGCTCTTAAGATAGGAACAATATCAAGAATCATGGGAGACCAGTTCCTACAAGGAACGTTTTTATCTGAGGTTATTTAGAGATGTTTTAATCTATCTATGACTTGTGAAATAAGGAAACACACATGCTTTCTGATGACAACTTTTTCTTTTACTCCATCTTGAAAATGTCATCTTACTCTTTCTGTCTCCACACAGCTATATATGTCTATAGTGCTGCATACAGCTACACATCTTTACATACATACATTTTCACATGTCTACACATCTTTCTTTTATATACATTTCTCTTCTATGTCTCTTTTCTATATAATTTCATCTTCCTTGTCTTCACATAGTTACAAATCTCCACACAGCCACAGCTAAATTTTTCATTTACATAGCTCTCTCACCATACAGCACTTTATACAGTTCCTAGGCACAGCTCCTCTACATAGCAGCAGCTCTTTCACATAGCCCCCCCCCACTTCTCTCTCTCATATTTACTCACATATACATACTTCTACATTATTTATTCATTCTTTTCTCCCTTACTCTTTCACCCATTTATCCCCTCACATTTCTCTCATGCTTCATCTCTTACTCAGCAGACATATACATTTAACTCACATTTTACAGCAGCTCTCACATGGCTCTATATAGCTGTCTCTCTCCATATTGCTGCTATTGCTTCCTCATGGCCAAACTCTGAACAATTATAAGTTACATTTTCAGAGCCCTACCTGTTCTCAAAACATATGATAGGTCATGTAGTTTCTCTTAGGCTAGTAATGTCACATTGACCCATGCACGTAGCTCTAAGTTGGTGAGGGAATCCCAGACAGTAGGTAAACAACTGGCTAAACTTTGAGCCTGTAGCATCAACTGAAGCTGGGACTACATGGAAAAAGTCAATTACTGAGAAAGTTCTGTCTAAAAGTGCTTCAAGCTCTGACCTTAAATAAGCAGAAAGAAACACCTAGAAAAAATGACCTTGTGTATTTGTCTTTAGGAGCAATCAGCCTGCTTTGAATCTGCTCTGACATCTAAAGATAGCTGTCTGTATAAAAGGCTCTCTTTTGACTGAGAATCCTATGTCAGTCTTAGTAATGTAAAATATCCCAGTATTATTTCTATACATCAAAATTATACAGCTTAACAGAAATCATAACCTGATCATCCACAACTATAAATATGCCCAAAGATAAAACACACTACCAAAGGGCTGTGGAAAGCATGCCACAGCTGTTCTTGTAGGGAGGTATAATGGTGGCACATGAGAAAGGTACAGTCAGAAAATAACTGGTTTCCACAGCCAATGACCCCATGGCTTTGCCAGGTGGGCCGCCCCATCTGGGAGTTTATGAGTCTGGTGGGTCGACTTGTCAAACACTAGTTGTCACCTGCTGTATACTCCCATGGCACTCAGCAGAACAAACCTTGCTACTGCCCAAATAACATTTTCTGTACTATACTAAATTCTAGGCTATAATTTTTAAAAAAGTTTAAAGTATATCCACTAGGAGTCATTTCCATCTCAAGAAGCCATTATTCAGTCATCAATAATAAGCCATTCCTTACATACTAAATTTTTATCTTGAAATTACAGCAATGAATTCCCATCTCTAAGCTCTACTGTTAGTTATATTTCCTTTGTATTTCACATTTACTTATTCCACTGAAGCCCTGAATTTCTCAGTGACCAATGAGGGATAGAAGTATGTTCTTCCAAACTCCTCTTAAAATTGTCATTTTTCCTTCCTTCTAATAGTCACAAATTTTCATAGTGGCATATATGCAATGAATCTTTTCCAGAACGTTTCCAGATATAGGAACTATCTATAGCACCTGTAGCTCCATGAAATAAATTTTTTAAATAATAAGACTTGAAACTAAAATTTCTTCCTTTATTCATGGGTAGAAGAAATGCAGTTGCGTGAGCAGGTATGAAATCAACACGGGAAACCTCACCCGGCCCGGACACGGACAGGATTGACAGATTGATAGCTTTTTCTCGATTCCGTCATCATATGTCTCCATCACAGCTCTGAAGTCACTAGGTACATTATAATGAGCTGTGATAATATCTTAAAGGATTCTTTTTTTTCCTCCAAGAAGTAGGTCTCAATATCCTTAGCTTCAAAGATTAAGCATATCACATGGTAAACAATGCACTGCCATCCAGGCTTTTCTGTTCCTTTTAGGAAGCATGGGCAGAGTAAACAGGAAGGATTGTTAAGGCCCTTAGCCTATCAGAACAGTCAGTGAACATTGGCTTCAGCTTAGCATCAGTATCTGTATTAGACCCTTACAAAAGGTAGGGTCTGATCTTTGCAGTTTTGAAGGCAGGCATTAGTTTTTCTTCATTCGGGAAATTTCTAGATAGTGTATTATTTCAATACAAGGTTGTTTCAATTACATGAGCTTTCTGCTATTCAGAACTTCTTCCTTCATTGATGACTTTTGCTGGATCTCCATTGCCAGCTTGTATTAGTATCATCAAAGCTAAGCTTTATACAACTATTATATAATTAAGATGGCATCTTCTCTTGAATCACAAGAACAAAACTCTGCTGTAGGTTACATGACCCTCTGCATTCCCAATTAGTCCTCTAGCTTAGGCTTTGACACTCTCAAATGTTGGGGCTACTTTAACCTTTTCCATAGATCATAAAAGCTTTCTATTCTGAGTGCTTTGCTTTATACTTGTCTAGAAGGTCAGGAAAAGAGCACTTTTCCTTAAAAAACACTTGATACTATCAAACTACATTCTATAAATGCATAGGAATGCCATGATAGAACTCATTGTTTTATACACCTAATATATGTTAATACTAATAACATTCTAAAAACTGAAAAGAAGATGCTCTTCCCTGCATTCACGGCTTGGTGTTTTAGCACAACAGCACAAATTTGGGTCTATCTAAAGTTGATGAGGCTTATTTAATCCCTTCTAGCTCCTTTGCTTACTTGAACACCTGGAAACCATTGTCTGTCAGTGTTTCACTGACTTCTTTTCAATATTATTCCATCCCAGGAAATAGGGAGCTTGATCACCATGACCTATAAACCAAGAACAATAACACAAGTTTCCTTTATCAAGCTGCCACAACACATATAATCAAACTAAAGTCTGAAGTACTGATAGTATTTCTAGGTGGTGACATGGAGCCAAAGAGTAAGTGTATGCTGGAAAAACCATCACCATGAACTTCTGTGTACAAGGTTGTCACAAACTTTAAATTTGTAAAAAAACAAAACAACAACAACAACAACAAAAAAAATGCTACAACAAAGCAAAGGTATGCCTGCATTTAAAGAATTTTACAAATGTATTCCACTATGAAGCCTTTAGTGTTACTCTGAATGATAAGCTTTTCTGAAAACAGCACAGTAAAAATGATACATCCTTAAAACTAGGAATCACATAAAAACCATCAGGTTTATGTTCATGTTTTTCCAAATTTTCAGATGTATGTTTTACAATTTGTTTGGTGTCCAAAGAAATCCAACATATCTATTAATTTTCTCTTAATCTGTTACTTCTTTACAAATTAATCATCCACATTCCTTATTAAATTTGTATTATTTATTGCTGTGTTACAAATTGGTGTAAAATTAAGTGATTTAATATTTAAATTTATTTTTTCACTAAAATTTTTATATACATTGCAATCTGATCATGTTTTTCTTCAATCCCACCTTCTCCCAAATCCTATCTCTTTAGCCACTCAATTTCATGTTCTTTTCCTCTCCTTCTAAGAAAAAAAAACAGCAACACAACAATATCAAAACAAACAAAAACTACATGTACACACATACAATGGAGTCCATTTTGTGATGATAAGCTACTCCTAGGTCTGGGAAATGGCCTGGAATATTATTGATAAAAACAATTACACTCCACTGGAGAACACTGAATTTCACTTTCCCAGCAGGAATCAACTGCACATAGTTCCTTTGTTAGGATTGGTAATTTGTGTCCAATTCCTCTTTTTCTTGATGGAATTTTGTCTGTATTCAACCTGTGCAGGTCTTGTATGTGCTTTACATCCCTGTAAATTCATAATTAATGGCCTTTTGAAAAGTCATATGGAATCTTACTGCTATAGAAGCTTCCTAAAATATATACATATGTGAAAATAGTCTAAATGGAGTCACTAAATAATTGAGGAAATAATGCCCAGACTAGACATCTTATCTACTAAGTAAAACCTTTAGTGCTAAGAATGAGCTACATTTGGTTGAGTCGTTGGCCAAAGGGGTCTCATAGACACTCCTCAAACTTCACAGGCTATTGCCATGGTTTTTAGTTACTCTCTATAACATGGTAAGTCCTGATTGGGGATGATATAATTTATGTCATAGAAAATTGAAATAGAATTCTTCCCATCTAGAAGCTTCATACCTACTGATTAGTGTTCATTGTACTAGAGGTCAGTTGGCATAATATTAGAGCAGAAAAGTAATCATTAACATCATCCAGCTACACATCCTGTGACCTACAATAGTGTGCTGCCTACAAAGTATAGTGGTGCTACAGTGGTACAAATATTATGACAGTACTCAACCTCTAATTGATTGAATTTAAGGCCCAGTCATGAGATGGAACCTATATGTGACACTACTAAAATGGCAAAGAGCTCTTAACTAGATAGATGATAGGCTTGTGGTAAAAGCCAACTGCTATTAATTTGCTAAAGGAACATAGCAATAGAATGGTGTCTAATGAAATATTCCTAAACTGATAGATCAGAGAATCACTCAACACTTATGAGAGAAGCTTCTGTTGTTAATTAACAGAGTAACCTACAATTGGATGATGTGCGGAAAGTGAGAGACTGGAGTACTCACCCCTAAATCTACCAATCTTCTCCCTTCTAATAATCCACATTTGGCTTCCTCTATTAATTACCAATAACTTTCATAATAGTCCAACAGAGTAAGGCCTTTCCCTTTTCATGTGCCAGTGTCTGATTTTTGAGCTCTCCTCTCTTTCTGTATTCTCTTGTTTTCGTCTACTTATATTTTATTATTTCTTGTTCTGTAGAGCTCATAAGAAACATCCTTTATAGTCTAGTCTTTTTGTATATTTTAAAAGATACATTTATTTGTTTGTTTGTTTTGTGTGAGTATGTGTCTACACAAGCTTCTAAAAGTGCCCTGATGCACATGTGGAAGTCAGAGAACAACTTGTAGGAGTTGGATTTCTTCTACCATATCTGGTCTTCAGGCTTGGCAGCCTGCACTTTTACCAGCTGAGCAATGTTGTGGTCCCTGTTTTTATGTATTTTCACAGACTTTTATAATTTTAATCAACTAAAAAAATACAAATTTGGACTCATTGTTTTCTTACATATATATTATTTATGTAGCTTGTATGTGATCAAGAAATGCATTTCTTTATGCAGAATTGTATGCCCAGTGGTGGTGAAATAGAATAATTTAATTAATAAATTAAATTTATTTTCAAGGATAGTTTTCCTTTCTTCAATGTCTAATTAGAAAATTTTCAATTCTCAGCAACAACTAAATGTTATTCTCCAAGTAGCTTTTTGGGTCTTCTTTTTGTCTCACTATAATCCCCTTCATAATTTCCTTTCTAATCCATGATGTTAATGACCAGGTTTATACTGGAAACTTACTTTTGGATGTTTAGAAGATCTAGATTCACAGCTTCTATTCCTTTCTATGCACCCTCAAGTATCACCCTAGCTCTAAAAGCCCAACTTTAAATGTGCTCAGAACTCTGTTCCTGACCACTCCTTTGCATTTTCTTTTAAACCTTCACTGACTGTACTGGATTAGCACTCACCAGCATATCTAAAATAGACTGCATTCATCTCCTCACATAGCCATATCAGTCTCCACACACATAAAAGCCATTCATAGGGTTTTAAATCCCAGTGCATTACTTTAAATCCTTTGTATATTATTATTGCCACTTTCCAGTCAATATTGCTGTCATCGTTTAGTTATAACACATAATACACTGGTACTACTATCAGCAATTTCCCTTGTAGCTTGTTTTCCAGAATACCTAATGACCATTTTTCTAAAAATAAAGCTTCACTGTAAATTTCCCTGAAGTAAAGCATTCTTCTTTTCTCACTTTGCCCACACAAAGAGGGACCTGAGAACCTAGCTTTCTAGATATCTAGATAGACCTCTCAACTCTTTTCTATTTCTCACTGTGATGAAAGGGAAAGTTTTATATATTAGACTGGTACAATTATTCAGTTTAATTCTGCCACTTCCTTCTTTAACTCTATCTATTCCATGGGAAAAATATATATAAAAATGTATTTCATGTTCCATAAATAATTTGTATAATTACATATTATAATTTACCCAATATATGCACACATATGTATACATTACATGTGCACATGAATTAGAAATTTATATATGTAATTTTATAACAATAATTACACGTGAACTATGAATTTGTAAACTGTCTATAGGTTATAATATAGAAACAATGGTTGTCTAGTCATTCTGTGAAAAATGACTGTGAAATACAGTCTCTTCTGTTAAGCCTCCAGTGTCCATAGGGACATTTAGTAAGTAAAAGACTGTGTTGACTACATGCACTAAAACAAATCATCCCTGATCATTAGTTTAGTGGCAAATGGGGAGCCTGACCATGCTCATGCCTTTTATAAGATTTATTTTTATTATTTTTATTTATCTGTGCATGCTGGTATGTGTGTGTGTGTGTGTGTGTGTGTGTGTGTGTGTGTGTGTGTGTGTATGTGTGTGTGTGTGTGTGTGTGTGTGTGCACATGAGTGCTGCTACCTACAGAGGAAAGAAGAGAGTGTCAGGTTCCCTAGAATTAGAGTTATTGGTGCTTTTGTCATTTATCTGGTGTTGGTGCTGAGAACTAAATTCAGAAAGAATAGCATGGTTTCTTAACTGCCTAGCCATCTTTCCAGCCCCTCTCACACCCCTCTTAGCCAGCTTAAATCTTCTCTTTCTGCTTTCATGCTTCCTGGAAGACAACTAGCCATTCTTTGTTGCT